CCAACCCCCCCCCCCCGGGCGAGCGAAGATTTCTTGGGAAATGGTTGCAAAATCCCGCCGGCGTGGCGATGCGCCGGGTGGGGTGTGGCTTCTGCCCCCCCCCCTTTTCGTCCCTTTCCACCAGCTTTGCAGGGAGAATAGGCTTAAAAATGGGAAGAAAAAGGGCTTCAACCCGAGACACAATCTGCCAAGAGGGGCTGAGGGGACGCCACTGCGGAGATTTGCACCGTTGTCTTTGGGGGCAGCTTCTTTCTCCCCTCCCCACCCTGTCCGGGGATTCTCTGTTGTCTAATATAGGGTTGAGCTCACCCCCACAGGGCGGGGGGGGCCTCGTGGGTTTCCCCCTCCCCATCTCCTCTCAACGCGCCCTTTGCAACGTCCGTGTGTGTCTGCACGGGCCCATCCTGCACCCAGCACCTTCCTCAGGGGTGCAACCACCATCTGGGGGTGGGGGGCCATGGGAGATGCACAGCCCGCGATTAGGCAATTAAGAGGTGGCAATTAGCATGGAGGGGGGGTAGGGGGGGTGGAAGGCGAGCTGGGCAGCCTCCTTCTCCCTGGCATTTTGCTCCTGGGAAGGAGAGAATAAATGATCCATAAAGTTTCCATCGGCGACGCACCAGAGAGCAGCTCCGACGACCCCAGCGAGACTGGTGGGAATATTTAATTTTGCCTTAAACTTTATTTTGATGGTTTGGGCGATTATGAGGGGAAGGAATTCAGTTTTCCACCAAGCCCTCGCGTTGATTGTGGTGGGAAGAAAAAGAAAAAAAAAATAAAAAAATCCACAGCGTTTGCACAGGAGGGAGTTTATTAAATAAATTTTGACCCAAATGGGGCGTTTTTCTTGCTCCTATCCCAGAGTTGTCAGGGCTGGGAGGAAAGAGCTGGCTGGACTTTTTTTTTTTTCCCCAAAAAAAATTCAGATTTTTTTTTTTCCCCAAAAAAAAAATTTAGATTTTTTTTTTCCCCACAAAAAAAAATTTAGATGTTTAGAAAACAGCTGAGATGCTGTGTGGCGTCATGGCTGAGTCACAAGGTGCCGGGGGGCTGAACTGGCTGCTGCACCAGGGTGTTCGACCCGTAAAAACTGGTAAAAAAAATAAGAAATAAAAATCTCAGAAGAGTTGGGGAGGGGCTAAAACAGGAGACAGAGCAAAAACCGAGCGCCCGGCGCTGCCGCCGCAGGGACAGGGAGCCCACAGGGCTGGTTTTTGGGGGGAGTTAAGTGGAATTGGGCTTTTTTCACAGGTTTTTACTTGCCGCAGGGGCGTCCCCGGGGTGCAAAGCTGGGGGTCAGGGTGCTGAGACCTCACGTCTTGCACAAGCACGCATGAGCGTGCACAAGCATATACGGCCTCATGCAAGCACACGTGGCTTTGCACAAGCACAGACAGCCTCGCACGTGCTTGCACAAGCACACGCAGCCTCACACGAGTATGCCCAAGCACACACGGCCCTGCACGAGCATGCACGAGCACACACAACCTTGCACAGTCACATGCAAACCCTCAAGATGGTTTGAGAAAGGTCTATACTGGGATGGGTGCCCTTGAACTGGTGTGAGCAGGTCCCATACTGGGATGGGTGCCCTCATACTGGTGTGCGTGGGCCCCACACTGGGATGGGAGCCCTCGTACTGGTGTGAGCAGGTCCCATACTGGGATGGGAGCCCTCGTACTGGTGTGAGCAGGTCCCACACTGGGATGGGAGCCCTCGTACTGGTGTGCGCAGGCGCCACGCCGGGATGGGAGCCCTCGTACTGGTGTGAGCAGGTCCCACACTGGGATGGGAGCACTCGTACTGGTGTGGGCAGGTCCCACACTGGGATGGGAGCCCTCGTACTCGTGTGCGCGGGTCCCATGCTGGGATGGGTGCCCTTATACTAGTGTGAGCAGGTCCCATACTGGGATGGGAGCCCTCGTACTGGTGTGCGCGGGTCCCACGCTGGGATGGGAGCCCTCGTACTGGTGTGAGCGAGTCCCATGCTGGGATGGGTGCCCTGGTACTGGTGTGCGCGGGTCCCACGCCAGGATGGGTGCCCTCGTACTGGTGTGGGCAGGTCCCATAGTGGGATGGGAGCCCTCGTACTGGTGTGCGC